CAGTAAAACCAGCTTCCATCAAGTCAACAGCACCCTGACTCATGCTGACCCCATGTGTGTCAGAATAGACCTGCGCTCCATAGGGGTTTCAGTGGCTCAAAATGTATCACTAAACCTTTCTTCAGACGCACCTCTAGGTGGACTTCAACCTCCAGTCTTTTGGTTAGCTGCCAAGAGCATCAACCTTTGCGTTACCCAAAGACTCAGATTACACAATAATTTTCTTGATCCAGTGGCCACACTTTGGTAGTTTAGTTAGATTTGGAGTTTCTCAATCGCGTAACAAGTATTTGTAGGTCATCTTCAGTGGGCTTCTCTCACCCACTCTATGCTGGAAGTGGAAGGTCTTTCCTGACCAGAGCCCCAAATTCCAGCAGTTTGCTGCTATAGTTGTGGGTGCAGTCTCTGTGCCAAGTGTGAGTGACACAAGCTTGCGCCTCTCCCCCATGGAACTTACATCTCAGTAGGAAGGACAGAGGCTGAGTAAATAGAAGTTTGATGAATTTTATGTTAAGTAGAGATCACGGTAGTAGGAGAGTGTAATACTCAGAAACCAAAATGATTTAGCAGGTGAGGGAAGGTTGCCTTGAGGAATAGTTGTTAAAGTCTTAAAGAATGAGTAGGGGTTAGCTGGGCAAAGGGGTGAGAGATGTCTGTGACAGTCACAGCAAGTCATGATAACAATAACTCACTATTGAATCATAAGAATCGTATCCCCATCTCTTTTCACCTGGTCGCTATGTCTCTTAACTGGTAAATTTAATCCATTTACATTCAGTGTAATTCTCAATAGGTGTGAGTTGCTGTCATTTTTCTGTGTGTGTGGTTTCTTTGTTCCATATTATTTTCTTGTTTCTGTTGTGTTAGCATTTACTAAATCTTTCTGATTTTCTTCTTTATTTTGATGCACAGGTGTATTATTTTTCTTAGAAGTTACCCTGTAATTAATTTTTCCCCCTGCTTAAAACAGTGTGTTTTGTCTTGAAATCTACTTGATACCCTTGCCATTTGGAAGCTCTGGGTCTACACTCCTATCTTTTTGCTTTGTAGTTGACTTCATTATAAATTGATATCTCTGTTTCTCTATTTTCATTCTTGTAGATTTGTTTTACTTTGTTGTTGTTAAGTGTCATCGAGTCAGTTCTGACTCATAGCGACCCTGGGCAGGGTTTCCAAGTAGCAACTGTTGAGCTTGAACCACTGGCCTTGCAGTTCAAACTGACTTTGCAGTCCAGCGAATTAACCTACAGCATCAAACCAGGTCTGAATTGACTTTTGGGTGGTGTTGTCATGTATGGTAGTCTCAGGTTGTTGTCTGCTGTTGTTAGTTCTCAGTCTAAAGAACACCCTTTAGCATATTTTGTAAAGTTGGTTTGGTAATTACAATTATCTTTAATTTCTGGTTATAAGGAAATGTCATAATTTCATTGTCATATTTAAGGGACAGCTTTGCTGGGTGTATCATTTTGATTGGCAGTTGGGTTTTTTTTTTTTTTTTTCAGAGTTGTGTATATGTCATCCCATTGCCTTCTTGCCTGCATGGTTTCTGCTGAGAAATCAGAGTTCAATCTTACTAGTTCTCCTTTGTATTAACTTTTCATTTTCCCCGAGCTGCTCTCAGGATTGTTTCCTTGTGTTTGACTTTGGAAAGTTTGATTATGATATGTCCTGGTGACGTTCTTTTGGGATCTATCCTATTTGGGGTTCACTCAAAGCATCTTTTTTGCTTATCTTAATGATGTTAGGAAAGTTTTCTTCTGACAACTCTTCAACAATTTCTCTGTGCTTTTTATTGTCTCTTCTTGTTCTGGAATTCTGATCACTCTTAGGCTGTTCCTTTTCATGGTGTCTCACATAACTCTTAGGCTTTTTCCAGATTTTTTCATTCTTTTTTCTGATTGTTCTTCTAGCATACTAGTGTTGGTGGTGATGTGATATGGAGTTCGGTTCCGACTCGTAGTGACCCTGTATGGGTTTCTGAGGCTGTAAATTTTTATGGGAGCAGAAAGCCTCATCTTTCTCCCATGAACCGCTGGTAGTTTCAAACTGCTGACTGTGAGATTAGCAGCCCAACTTGTAACCACTACACTATCAGAGCTCCTTACTATACTAGTAATTGAGAGATTTATATTCAAGTTCACTAATTCAGGCTTCCATTGCTTCAAATCTTCTCCCTTGTCCTTTCAAAGTATTGTTCATTTCTAAGATCTTAGTATTAATCCTCTGGATTAGTATTTACTAATTTCCAATTGCAGGTTTTGTTTCAAATTTTGAATTTATTTTATATGTTCTCATAGCATTTTCCTGAATTCTTCTAAAGTTTTTTTCTATATTCTCCTTGCTTTCCTTGATCTTTCTCTCTGTCCATTGAAGATTGAAGGTACAGAAACATCATTTTTAAAATTCTTTTTCAGTTACTTCCATTACCTTTTTGTTTCTCAGAAATGTTTTTTTGCTCCATCTCTTGTTCATTTGTTTATGTGTGTGAGTTAAAATTGCCTGTTGCGGTTGTTGTATTTGTTAAAACAAGCAGTGCAGTTGTTGGGCCCAGAGGAAAAATCTCTGGTGGGCTCTTGGCAATTCAAGGAGCTCTTGATGCGATTTTTGGAAAGGATGTGACAGCAGAGTTCCTGATCCTAGATGGAGTTCCTATGACCTTGGTGTTATCTGTGTTCAGGGAACTCCAAACAGAAATAGTTCGTGGGGGTCCTTGATGGTGCTGGTTTCAGTATCTGTTAGGATTACAGGGAAGCTGGGAGCAGGGCACCTGGTTAAATACTAGTCTAGTGACTGAGGGTTTTGTATGTCTGGAGCTGAGCTCATCTGAATCCAGGCATCAAAGCTGTGCAGCTGGCCCCTACCTCACACTAGCATGGTTCCTAACCAAGTGGCTCTGAACTCCGGCAGAGCAGGATTTGCAATGGGGGTAGATGAGGGTGTAAGCCGACCACACCTCTGACAACAGGGGAGCATGAGGAAAAAGAAGAAATCACATGTTTCCTGTCGCCTGTGTGAATCTGCTCTGCCAGGCCTCCTTCATTTGCCAGAGGTGCTCACAACATGGTCAAGGTGCATCTGGCCAGCCATTCACCAGTCAGTCTCCCTCCCTCACTGTCCAGCTCAGCTTCTCCCAGCAAGAACTCTAGCCACTTCTGTCACCTTTCTTCTGAAGTTCAGGATGCCAGTCTTTTCATCTGTATTTGTTTTATCTGGCCTCTGTGTCTTTGTTGTAGAGGGTCTGTGTAGTGTGTCTGCCTAGTCTACCGTCTTGCTGAAAGTCTCCTCATTGCGACTCTTGTTATTATTATAAGTTGTTGCTAAGTAGATTTTCAATTTACAGCAACCCCATGTAACAGAGTAGAACTGCCTCATAGGATTTTCTTTACAGAGAAGTTTGTCAGATTTTCCTTCCTTGAAGCTTCTGATAGAGTTCAATTTGTTAACTTTTAGATTAGCCGTCAGTCACAAACCACTTGTGTATCCAGGTTTAAGATTTGGGACTTTTAGCCCTAGGTTAGTTATTTAAAAGGGTTTAAGGTGTGTGAGTGTGTGAGATATGATCAGACTAGGTTGCAGTGCTGAGATTAAATTAGAGATGGGGGAGGGGAAGTATTTTAGTTACGAATGTTGCTGTAAATGCCACAAGCAGATAGCTTTAAAGAGCAGAATTGTATTTCTCATAGACCTGAAGGCTGAGAAGTCCGGATCTGGGTCTTGTCATGCTGGTTCTGTCTATGGGCCTCTCTCCTCATTTTTTCATGTCTGCTTGTGACCCTTGGCGTTCTTTTCCTTGTGGATGGGTCCTCACGTGGCATCTTTTTTTTTGTGTTTGTCTCTGGGTCTAATGAATTCTTTTTAAAACTCAGAAATGATTAGGTTTAGGACCCACCCTGCACTGATATGTTCTCATTAACACAACCAAATAAAAACTCTTTCTAAACAGGGTCATATCCACAGCTCTATAGGGGTTGGAGTCCTGGTGTGGCGCTGTGGGGTTAATGCACCAGACTGCAAAGCCGTTTGAACTGCAAGGTTAGCAGTTCAAGCTAACCAGCTACTCATTGGAAACCCTATACAGGGTCGCTATGGGTCGGAACCGACTCGACAGCACTTCACAACAACAACAAGATATAGGGGTTAGGATGTCAGCACATAAGTGGGAGAACACAATTCAGTCTGTAACAGGGAGTGTCACAGACTGGTAGTAGAGGAACTGATTGAGAGGGTGTTGCAGTGTTCCAGGCATAAGATGACCAGGATTTGGATTGAGGGGGAGTACGGTAGAATGGGGTGTTGATGGAGAAAATTGGACTTGTGGATGACATAGGGCATAAAGTACAGGGGGAGCAATAAGGGATGATTTCAAGTTTTCACTTCCTAGGACCCAGAGAGAGGAAACAGTATTGTAACTTCACTTCCTTGCTGTTTCACTCATTTTATGTGAGTAAACATTTCCTTATGTAGAGTTGGGGACTCCTGGCATTTCCCTGAGATTCACTTGGGATTTTTAAAACCAGAAGAAGCCTCCAGAGGTTGTAGAGTTCAAGAGATAGAAAGGTAGGTGCAAAGGCTGTGGGTTTATTCTTTGAGAGCATGATCTAGTGGGGTTACAGACAGAAGTGATCTTTCCAGGTTTGGTGAGGGGTGAAAGAAACCAAAGGATTGGATGGTAAGACTTTGTAGGACCTTCACTGGCTCTCACATTAGACTTTATGGGGAGTGGGATTCCAGTGCTCTTTGTTGCAGGACTTCATTGGGGGACGTAAGGAGGCAAACTTGGAAGCTGGGCTGTGGAACTTAACTGGGTGCAGAAAGGGTATTCTTTTCTCTGTACTCTTGGGTACATTGGAGGAGAAATCAGGGTTTGCTCTGGCAAGGAACTGAGTTCAAGTCAAGAAGTCTCGATGCCCAGCCAGAAGTAAGTGGCCTTGTGAGTGCTGGACAGTTCCTGAATCTTTTGTGCATGATCTCACCCCAGCTCTCTGGTTTTCTGGTTGTAGGAATTGGCTTCAAGTACGTGGCTCTGGGAGACCTCGTCATCCTCATCACTTTCGGTCCGCTGGCTGTGATGTTCGCCTATGCTGTCCAGGTGGGGTCCCTGGCAGTCTTCCCCCTGTTTTACGCCATCCCCCTCGCTCTAAGCACTGAGGCCATTCTCCATTCCAACAACACGAGGGACATGGTGTCCGACCAGGAGGCTGGCATCGTTACGCTGGCCATCCTCATCGGCCCCACCCTTTCCTACGTGCTCTACACCATGCTGCTCTTCCTGCCCTACCTCGTCTTCAGCATCCTGGCCACACGCTACAGCATCAGTCTGGCCCTCCCGCTGCTCACCATTCCCATGGCCTTCTCTCTTGAGAGACAGTTCCGAAGCCAGGCCTTCAACAAACTGCCTCAGAGGACAGCCAAACTCAATCTCTTGCTGGGACTTTTCTATGTCTTTGGAATCATCCTGGCACCGGCGGGCAGTCTGCCCAAACTTTGAGGGGACCAGATGATTCCCACTACAACATGTCCCCTTTCTTGAACTATATTGAAGTAAGAAGACCCCAGAGGGAATGTGATTTGGCAACAGGGTTCTGAGGATGGGGCTTTTAAAAAAATCTTCTTAAAAATACATGCTGAGTTTTTCCATTTTTATGGGGTATCTTGAAATCAGTCTGGTGTCTGAAGAGGGTGAATTGAATGCATGGTCGGTGTTTTATTTATAATTTCCACTAGAGGGTGTTGTCAGGTCACTTAAGAATGGACTAAGACTGTGAAGGAGCTGCCTGGTTACCCTCCTATCCATAGAAACCGGCCACATTGTCCTTTGTTAACTTGTAGGAGATGGTGGTAATGGTGCCAGGCCCATTGGCATGAGGAGTACCTATCTCTCTTCCTCTTAGCCCTTGGCTGCTGCAAAGAGCTGCTTAAGAGAGAAAGGCCCTCATTCCCAACTTGGCGTGGTGCCCAGCCTTGTGCCTCAGTTGTGATTCAGGAGCTTTTGTCCTTCATTTCTCCTCTCGCTGCAGGTGGAGAAAAGTTGCAGATCCCCCTACAGCAAAGTCATATAGGCAGAGACTAGGAGGAAGTAAAAAAACCCATACCCTGAAGGCAGCTGAGAAAATCACTGTGCTTTTGGGTAGAAATTGGTAAGGCAGCTGTTTTCCCTTTATGGAAGCCACTAGAACGACGGCAAGGATTCCCAGCTCTTTATTAACTACTGAGAACTATGAAATTGTGTCAGTGCCATCCTTGTGGGCAGGGGTGGTGCATGGGGCCAGAATATTGGGGCAATAGATCTGCAACTGAGTCAGAGGCGGCGGCCACTTTTCACAGAGCCAGAGGATAGGCAGACCACAGCATCCCTGTTGAATGCAAAATCCAGTGGACAAACAGTCCAGCGTCTTGTGCAGCCAGAATGACTGACCTGGCCAGTGAAGGAATTTTCTCTTCATCCCTGAAGACAGATGTGCAGTATTGACCCTGCCTCTCTTGAGGCTTTTGTTGCTTGGTGCAAAGATAGTCGAGGGCTCCAGTGAGGTCACACAAGAATGAGGAATTCCAGCATTGATCGAAGCTGCGTTTCATTTCCTTGCCTGTGAAGCATAATATCGGGGCTTAGAATTGCTCAGTTACATTTGGTCCAAGGCTGAAATAAACAGAGATCTATTACCATTATGTATTTCTGTTGAGATTATAGCTGTCCTGATATTTCAGGGTCTTGACCTGCAGCAAATGACCTAAGAACTAGTTTTTAATCCTTAAGCTCAAGCTACCTGTGATTTGGCTGTTTGAGTTAGCTTACCTAGAAAAAACATATTGATTGGGAAATTGCAAGTTCCTCTGAAGTTAAAGGGGATTCGTCAAGCAGAGATCCAAAATCCTTGAACAGTAGTCAGAGCCCAGGAGCAAGTGAAAAGAGAATGATCCTTCTTTCTCCTGCCTGCCTTCCCAGCACCGGTTTTGTTCTGTGCCATTCTTGTAGCGACATGGTGCTCACGGGCCCTACCTTCAAAGACAAGCTCTCCTGGCTCCTCTTCAGAGAGTCCACAGGCCAGACCTACCTTTGTAGTCACTGCCATCAGGGTTGTTGGTTGGCTGTGCACCATGTTCTGGTACAGCTTTTAATGCATATTTTGATATGTACGTGTTCCCCAAAATGCCACATTTGGTGCCAGGTTTTCTACGGAAGTCACCAAAACTTGTTTTACCTCCTCTGACTCAATGAAGGTTTTCTTTCGACTTGTTAATAAAAGAAAAAATTCAACAGTTGTCTGACTTAATTTTTGTTTCCTTCCTACTTCTTTTGTTGTCTGATTGTGAACTCTGCCTCAGAAATCTCAGGGAGACCAGAGCAAGGACATCGGAGTGTGGGCGAGGCTTTGTGTGCAGGGTGACCTGTTCTTTGGTAAATTTAGCTAGACTCTGACTTCAAATTTTCTAGACCCGATTTGAGAACCTCAGAACAGCCAGTAGTAGGGGTCACTTAGAGCTCGTATGGATTTGCCAAGAGCTAGTCAGGCCAGATTGACATTGACCTCGCTTCCTTCTGTCCCTTTCTCTGTTTATTTTTCTTTTCCTTGTATAGGGCACTGGGCTGATGATCAGGATCCTGCAGTGGGTAAGAATGTATCTGGGTTTCAGCAAGGCATTTGACAATATGTCCTGCGAACAAGGCAGAGACTTGTGGATGGGCAATGATAGATGGGTTTCTAAGGGAGTGAACAAGCTGTGGGAGGAAGCTGGCTGCTCCATGGTTACCTGTGTGAGCATGTGTGTGCATTGCCCAACCCTGTCATTAATGATTAGAATGAAGACTCTGATGATGTGGCGGCCAAAATCATGGCTTTTGGGAACCTTGGAGGAAGAACTTATAAAATGAGTGACAATTGGTATTCTCATCCATCAAAAGGCTACTTTGATGGGTCAAGGGAAGAATATAGCATGAATAAAATATAAATAACATGCTTGGGTCTCAATCAAGTACATTACATGAGGACAGGGATGGTTCATGGAGTTAACAGTAGTAGATGTGGTAGGGATGCAGATTATATCTGGGATACAATATCATATATCTGTATTTCAGAGTTAGGTTTATTCTGCTCCTCTGTGGGCTGGCTGGAAATTTAACCTCATTCGTCCCTCTAGCATCAACCAGGACTCCTGGCCCTCTATGAGGGCAGAAGCTGAGATGAACAGGGCCCTGGCTCTATTTACTCAGTAGCCATATGGTTGCTGCTCTGCTTGTCTGATGCTGGACTATGGTCCATTGTTATCTGAGGACTGCTGCACTGGGTGAGTTCAAATGCCCTGATGGCAGCCTTTCTTGCTGACTACAAACGACATCATTCTGAAGTAACTTGGGCCTGCAGGGCAGTAGTCCCTGTCACCCATCCCAATCTCTGACCCACCTCTGGGGACATACATGCCCAGTCTCTCCATGTCTCCCTTGTCTGCCTCTGCACACAAAGCATCTCCCTCCTTCCCTGTGAATTGTAATATCTTAGCACAGAATCCCCTTCAGGGGGCTCAATGTTGACCTTTTTTGGAATTGAGTAGAGGCAGAACATTTCAACATGTCATATGTTGCCATATTAAGTTTTCTGTCACACTTGTATTCAGCAAACAAAAATCTGAGCCCGTGGCCTGGCCTGAAACTCAATATGAGTCAGTAGTGGGCTCTCACTGTCACAGAGATTAATGTCATCTGAGGAGGAATTGATAGAGTTCGCGCTCAGAACAAGGAAGGGGGTAGGCCTGCCCTATTCTTGCATTGGCCAGACCACAGGTCATGGGCACCTTTTTTTCTTCTTTCTTTTTTCTGGATCCAGTCAATGGTGATAGATCTAGCATATTTGGATATAGCGTATTTGGATTTCTGCAAGACATTGAACAATATGTATGAAATGTGTATTGGAGGGAAATAGATGGGCTTTATGAGCATTGTGTGTGTGTGTGTGTGTGTGTGTGTGTATGTACACATCAGTAACATTTGTGGCTGACATTGTACATTTCGCAGCATGGGGAGTACAGTGTTAAGATGTTAACAAACTGAATCTTGTCCAGAAAGCAGTAGGCAGAATGATGAGGGTACTTAGAACCAGGTCGTCCTGGAAGTCTCATGGGAGGGCTGTCTTGAGAAAGGGATTGGGCTCTGTGTGTGTGTGTATGACTTTAGAGGGCAAAACTAGAGCCAATAGGTGGGAGTTAATATGACCCCAAGTTTAAACTCTTTGATCTGGAAGAACATTCTAACCATTAGAAGAATCAGTAAGTGAAATGTGCAAAATGCCCCAGTAGGTGGTAAGTTCCCTGTGACTGGAGGCATTCAAGTGAAAGGATGAATCCTTGTCAGGAACACTGAAGCAAGGAGCCAAACATCCATAGCGGGGCTAGCTGAGAAGACCTCTGAGGAACGTCTAGCCCTGAGATAATGTCAATTCTGTTATTAAGGGATTGCCATTCAACCTGCCATGGGTTGGGAGGACAGAATACAAAAAAGATACTGACATGTCTCTCATGATGTCGGATTGCTGTCTATCTGCCCATGTTAACAGGCAGAGCTATGATTGAGATTCCTTTTTTTTTAAGATCACACACATGCACACAGTTGATTTCACCCTCGAAAGCCCTTGAAGTGAGAGTGGATTCAGCTCCCTCGCTCTGCGCCCTGTGGACCATTCTGCTGCTAATGGACTGTCAGCCTCTTTCATTACGGACTGTGCAGGCTAGTGTAAAAGTCATGCCTCTGGCAAAAATCTGGCTCTTGGGTCTTGGCCAGTTAACATCTGTGTTTTGCCCTTCTTCGAACTGGATCTGTCATCCCACCTGGAGCATCAGTCCCAGGATACCAATGGTGGTGTAAATGAGTCACTTCCCTGCCTACAGAGGTGACATGGCCTGAGTCTGGCTTTCGGTGGGGATCGGCCAACAAATTCCTGGGATGGGGAAAGGCTACAATTGCAAGGCATGAACCTACCTCACCTCTAATACCTCCGTGGTTCAGAAGATGCAGAAACTCCGTGAAGGACTTGAGAGGGACAGTGAGGGTCTTGATCACATATTCTCAACCTGGCTGTGGGGGTAAAGGGACATTGGTCTGGGGACCTGCTGTGTTAATGCATCCATGCAGACAGGGCTTGGGCAGGTGGGCAGCCCTCTGTGTGGTGTGGTTCAGAGGCACACACACTTAAAGCCCACATACTTGCCCTACTGCTGTGTCCTTGCCCCTGTCTCCCCCAGCCTGGCTTAGAGTCACCCCCACCCCCCAGTTAAGGGCACAAATAGATTTAACAGGAAAGGAACAATGTGGTATGTATATTTCACCTCTTAGTTTGTCAGCATGTTTATTGTCAACCTCTCCCATTATGTGATAAGTTCCAGGAATACAAGGGCTATGCCTGCTGAATTTTTCATGTCTCTGCAAATAGCATAGTGCTTGGTACAGTAGAGCAGATAGGTAACTGGATGTTGATTCAGTTACATGGGAATGACTGGCCCCCCTAGGGCTGACCAGCAGGTGTGAGAGTGGAAGGGAAATAATACAGTGACATGTCTTGTCCTTTAAGATCCAGCTCATGGTAGCAACAGATGTCTTAAAAGCTC